CTAGAGAGAAGGAGGCAGTCCCACACTGCAGGCTAATGCCTAAGTTTGGGTCAATTTCTGAAATAACAGAGAAAAGCTCAAATTTTCCAGGGAATGGAGGAGTGATACTGATAGAACAGCAGGCATCTCAGCCAGGAGGTAGAATTCCTATGAGCAGCATCAGTATGCTGTGAGAACTGTTAAGGAATATAGGAGAGTTGTGGGCCCAGAGGCCTGAGAGGAAGGAGGTGCATAGGGGTGAGGGAAGTGAGATGGTTTTCTGGCATATAGAAAGGGCAGGTAGTTCTGGCTGGGCTGTCTAGGAAACATACCTGGAATAGAAGGGATCATAGGAAGGTGAAAGCCCCACTCTCATCAAGGTGCATGGGACTCAGAGGCACAGACAGAGAAAGAGGTGGTAAATCCTGGTTAGAGAGGAGCACAGGATGTAGGATTCAGGGGTGCAGAAAAGCACGGTGAACCTGGGATTACAACGGATTATTATGGCCTACAGGATATGGGGCATTATCAGTCATATTAACTGGATGGCATGTACTCTAGTTTTTATGTTGTTCACCTGACAAAGATTTGTCACATCTTTCTCCAGCATGTGGCTAAAGTGTTTGAATCCCTGAACTTCCTGTCAAATTAGCATTTGACCACTGCACCACCAAGGTAAAACAATGTGCTATGAGTCCATGAATAATGAATCAGATCAGAAAATTCATTAACAGAAATTTGTCTATGATTATTTCCACATATAGTAAGCCACAATGCTGTCACTTGTAGCAGCCTTTGGTTGAATTTCTGGGGCTGTGAATCTTAATGGGAAGAGACTGTCCATCTGTCTCCTAGATTCAAACCACCAACCTTTTGATAGCAATACAACACACTACACACTGAGTCACCAGAACACACATAACACCTCAAATTAGAGGTAGAAGAAGTGATTTACTCTTCAATACTGTGATTTGCTCTTCTATACTATGTTGGGATACTTTATCATATGAAAAAGGATACAATCAGATGTTCTTTACACTACAAGTTAATTAATAAAGATAAATAGCAAATGGATCTAAGACCTAAATGAAACCATTCAAGCATTAAAAGAAAGTTAGCATGAATTTTCTAACACTTTGAAGTGGGGAAAAATTTTCTGTAATTCAAAATACAGACCTAACACAGAAGAAGAATGATTACTAAATGTGATGATAAAGAATTTTTTAAAAACCTTTACATGGGCAATAACAACCAGTCAAACCCACAAAAAGTAAAGCAAAACAACAAACTGAATTATCTGTAGCTTAAATATAAAATAAACTGTAAATATAACCTAATGCATAAAGAATGACTATATAAAACAGAAAAACAAATCCAAAGGCAACAGGAAATGGCAAGTGATATTCACAAATATTTGAAAGAGGAATACCAAGGATTTTTAAATGCCCTCCTTATACCTCAAACTCACTAGCAATTAAGAAAATGCAAATTAAACTATGATGAAATGCCATTTCTCACTTTATCGGATTAGCAAAGAGCTTCCTGAAATACACTTTCTCGGGAAGACTTAAGAGAGTAATTCAGCAATCCCAATTGTAGGAATCTTTGACAAAGAAGAACTAACAATACTTAGATATTTTTACTGGGTTGCTGACTGCTGCAATAGTGGCTATGGCATCCTAGAGGTGCAGTGAATTATGAATTGGGCTCTAATAGAAAGATTAGTGATTCAAGCCTAGTGGCAGGGAAATCTGTAATTAGTAAAGGAAAGGGGAAAGATCCAGTGTCAAAAGCAATGTATATGAACTTTGTGTGTAAACCAGTATAAAATAAAATTTTTTAAAAACCCAACAAGTTGATTATGTAATAACTCTTTGTGACCTTAATTGGCAAAGACTGAAGTACAAGACCAAAAGTAAAAAGAAGAAATTAAATTTCACCAAAATTAAAGAAAATTAAAAGGCCAGGCACAGATTGTGAGAAAACATTTGCAAATTATATAATTAATAAGGTATTATATTAATATATATATATGAAGAACTTTTAAAAGTGAAAAATTTTTTTAAATTCTGTTTCTAAACAAAGAATCTGAAAATTATTTTACCTAAGAAGACAGACAAATAGCTGAAACACTCATTAAAAAATGTTCAACAACATTTTTAAAATCAGGTTGCTGATGAGTCGTCTTCTGATCTTTGATGCCACATATCTCTCGTAATCCTATCTCCACCATGGCTAGGAAAATGCAAATCAAAATCATAGTAAGATGCTGTTTCATATCCACTAAAATGGCTAATGGAGCTCTGGTGGCCTAGTACTAAAAAGTTGTCCTGCAATCCCAAAGGGACAGAGTTTGAATCCACCTCCCGTGTGAATAAATGCCTCTGAAAACTCGCTAAAGATTCCAACTACATGGCATACAACAACAATATAAAATGGTTACACTCAAAAAGCAGGCAATTACAAGTGATGTCAAAGATGTAGAGAAACTGGGTCCTGCATATATTGCTGGTGGGAATGTGGAACAGTGCATTCATTCTGGGGAAAAAAAGTCTTGGCAGCTTCCTCAAAGTGTTGAATACAGATTTACCCTATAATTTAACAATTCCACCCCTAAACATCTACCCAAGAGAAATGAAACCATATGTCCACACAAAAACACGTACACACATAAAAAGACAGCATTCATCACAACCATCAAAAAGAAGACACAATCCAATTAAGTATCAATTGATGAATGAATAAAATGTTGTGTATCCATACAATGGAAAATTCAACTCACTGCTGCCTAGATTCACAACTACTTTCAATCATTCAACCTCCACTCGGTTCCTAAGGCTAGAAATCACGAGAGGAGATGACCAACTTTTCTCCATCAGAGCCACTAATGGATTCAAATCACTAGAGATGTGCAATATTTGAATTACCAGTACAATTCACTACAGACTTTGCAACAAGAGCTCCCCAAAGAAATACTGTTTTGTTATTGGTATGTGCCATGGAGTCAGTATCTACTCTTAGTTGGTACTCCAACAGGTTTTCAAATTGCTCAGTAGGAGACTGCCCAGTTTTCTTCCAAGTAATGACTGGTAGATTTGAACCATATTAGTAGGTAACAAGAAGGAAGGATTAATCTTTACACTAAAAAAAAAAAAAAAGAAAAAGAAAAAAATTAACTTTAAAAATATAAGTTAAGTGAGAAGACCAGCCACAAATAATCGCCTATTTTATAACTCCACTTACATTAAATACCAAGAAAGGCAAACCTATAAAGCCAGAAAACATTATTTATTAATCATTAGGACCTAGGAGTAGACATGGTTCTTTTGGAGTGATAGTGTAAAAATGAGACTGCAGTTAATGGTTGTACAGTTTTGGAAATTTATTAGCAGGCATATGCTGTTGTTATTGTTGCGGTGTACCACCAAGTCGGAACCAATTCATAGCTGACCCTTCAGCAGGTTTTCAGAGGCAGTAAATTGCAAGAGAAGAAACTGTCCATCCTTCTCCTGTGTAGCAGCTGATGAATTTTAACCTTATACTATCATGTTAGCAGTGCAATTCCTTACCACTAAGTCACTGGAGCACTAACAAGCTAATAACACACATAAAACCAGTACTCAATAAAGCATAAATTTTTTTAAAACAAGTCATATACTAAAGACATTTCAATATTTTTTAATTGAGATTTTAATGAACGTTTATAAAGAACTTGGATTTCCATTCATTCATTGTTGCACATTTTTCTCCCTGACCCCTTCCCCCAGTTCACTTTTCTCTTTGGAAAAAAAGTTTTCATTGTTATATAGCCCCACTACCACCACCACCTCTGCAGCCACTACTTAGTAAAGTAATAAAGTAATTACATAGTAATGCAACTTTCATTCTGAACTCTTGTCATGCCAATAATACCTAATCATATATTCCTTTTATATAGTTCTCTCCCCTCGTCTGTTTCAATGCCATGTACATTATTTATCCCTTTTTTTTTTCCAGTTTCCCCCAACCCCCACATCAGTCCTATTTTATAACAGTGGTATTATGCAGCATTTGTCTTTTTGTGACTGAGATCTTTATTTTTAAAAAACTACCAATATGGGTTTTTTTTTTAAAATCTACTACAAATTAAAAAGATAAACTAGTCAATAACGGAGAATAAACAAAAGATCTGAAAGTAGTAATTTAAACAAAGAAAATGCAGTAATCAATAAATGAATACTGAAAAGTAAGTAAGATTTTAAAAACTAATCTTCCATGATAACTTTATGTACTGATTTTAGATCACAGGATGAATTAACTGTTATTCACAGACCTTTAAGTAGGTCTTTTAAAAAATAAGAAAGGTTTTTAAGCTCTCCTCAAAATTCTAAACATAGACAAACTATAACAAGAAAGAATTCATCATAAAGCCCTCATTGTACCTTTCCTTTAGGGACTGATAAGAGTTTAGTTAACGTACTCCTTTTATTCCTAGGCAACAACTTAAAACAAACAACAACAAAAAAAAAATCAAAGGAATCAATATTTGGTTTTGTTGGTTTTCTTCCTTTTAAATTATCCCACTTCAGGATCATCTACAGCCAATAGAAATCTGCCATGTTAATCTAATTTTAGATTCCAAACATATTCAATTCCTTCAATAAAAATAAAGGCAATTCACATAAGATGCTGATGGCTATCACTCAGCTGACTACAAACCTTGCCTGATAGAAACAAAATAGCATTTATTTTTTCTTTTTCTAATCCTTTGTTCACAGAAGTAATACTTTTTAAAAAATTTCTTATTGGTTTTCATACAATCATTTGTTTATACAGTGTTTCATTTATGTACATTGTTTTGGAGGGGTGTTGTTTTTTTTTCTGACACCTTCCTCCACCTACAAAACTCCGCAACCCTGTGATATCATTTCTCCATCCTCAGCCTCCTTGTCCTAATATAAAAAGTAAAAAACAATTCATTTTTAAGATAACCAGCCATAACATGACCAATAATATAAATAGGCATGCAAATATGGACTAACCTTCCAGTAATCAGATTGGGAACTGTAGTACCTCTGGTATGCAGATAATGCTGAAAGAGGAAAAATAATGATAAGCTACAACTTTAGCACATTTCAAAATCAATAAATTTTATAAAACATGTAATAAACTTCCCACAATACCCACCCTCCTGACAAAATAGTATGTTAAAAAAAAAACACCATTTAAAGAATTGACCCCTCCCTTACCAAAAGTCAATTATAGTACCAAGTGTCAAATATGAATGATTTCAGCAATGTAAAAGCATACTCAAATTTGAAATCTATACTTGAATGGGTATAAAATTTAGGCTACCCCTTGAATCAATCTTACTGTCCTCAGAGATCAAAACTGATAAAGGATTACTATTTTCTCTAAAGCTACTGCAGAATATAATTATTTATTCTCACAGAGAACCACATTTCCTAAAATGCCTATGAACATAACTACTTCAAAGAGGAAAGGAACTATTTATTTGGGATATTTCCTTTCATACTACCATCACTACCAACAGCAACAACAAAAACTCTACCTCACCATTACTTTTACAATTATCACCTTTACCTCACCATTACCTTACTTTGTAGGATATAATCAATTCAATTCCAGCTAATACCTCAAAAATCCATGAAGGCATAAAAGGAACTGGGAATAGTTCTTATCAACTTAAAAACTCAGGCGAGGTTAGGTGAGAATAAGGAGGGAATTTAAAAGTTACATACACACTAAAATTATAATTGATGGAGGAATGCCTTTTTAAACACTCATAAGCCTTGTTCTAACCGTTTTTATATCCTTTAAATACTTATATCCAACAGCTCTACTGGAGTTATACCCCCAAATTTGGCCAGATCTGGTCTGCAAATACAGTCTCAACATGTTCTGCTAGTGTGTTTTTATCAATTGCCTAAGGATACTGTTCTTGTTATTGTTCGCTACTCAAGTACAATTCATAATGACCTTACGAACAACATACTTGAATCCTATCCTGTGCAGTTCTCATTATCTCTAATACACTTAAGGCCATTGGTGTAGTCACAATCTCAAACCACATCAATGGGAGTCTTCCTCTCTTTCACTAACCCTTCAACTTTCCAAGTATGATGTCTCTTTCCAAGGAATAGATGCTCCTAGCAGCATATCCAAAGTGAGAGAGAGGAACCTTTCCTATCCTTGCTTCCAAGTAGTACTCTTGTTGCACCTTTTCCAAGACATATCAGTTTGTTCTTTTGGTAGTTAAGGGAATGTTGTTGTTGACTGCTGTTGGGTCAGGCATGACTCATACCGACCCTATGAACAAAAGGCCTGACGCCTTTCTATAATTATAGTCATTTATCATTCTTCAACGAGATGGAAAAGGCAATCTCCAATTTCGTATGGAATGGAAAAAAGCCCCGAATAAGCAAAGCACTCCTTAAGAATAGAAGAAC